TGTTTTGTTGACGTAATAAAACTACATAATTCTCTTGCCCATGCTGCCGTGGCTAGCAGCTACATTTGCTAACTACATTCATAGTTTTACGTATCCTTCAATGCTGGTTGATTAATCCGTTTTTCAAAGAATAGTAAACATCAAAATAAGGTTATAGTAACAAAAAAAAACGCAGTATGTAATTTTGGTCTTGCTCAAATAAGTTTGAACTCATTTAACGTTTCCCAGTGTTCTCGGCTAACGTTAGCACTATCTTTGAAGCTAGCGAACTGTACGGAAGACGAGCGGCTAACGCTTGCGCTTTATTTATCAATATTGCACATTCTCTGTTGTATTTCTGTAACTTGACGTTAAGAACAACAGGCTTTCATTAATAATTATATAACATAATAATTCAGTATTCCTTAATTATGTCTAATAGTGAATAGTTTAACAAGTCTTTGTTTACTGTTTTTATTTCATGTTTTGTATGGTTATATTGCAGTTATACTGCAATTAGCAACGATGGAATACTGTATAGTCATCACTGTTGACTGGTATAGACCGTTGTTCATTTTTGTGGTAGTTTTTTTCACCTGTTACATTAAAAAAATAATGATCTCTGAAACAGTTTTTTACTGTCTTTTCTTGTAGACCTAGCAGATTTCCAGGTCTCATTGGTGAAATGGGAGGTATGTCAGGCCATGTCTTTAATTCTGTGCAAATGTATGAACAAGCAGAGAATTCACAGCATTTAAATATTCCTGTTGTGGATGTTTCTGTTGCATGAACAGCCTTACTTTTTTGGTACCTGCAAAATTTTCTGGTTTTTTTATTTAACTTTTAAACAACATGGATTATTTAACCTGTGCTTCATGTTTTAAATTATTTTTCTCCTCTTGTTACAGATCCAGCGTTTCACAGAGATTGCCCCCTCGATTGTAAAGTTTATGTTGGAAACCTAGGAAACAATGGAAACAAGACCGAACTGGAGAGGGCGTTCGGCTACTACGGTCCTCTAAGAAGTGTTTGGGTTGCACGGAATCCACCAGGTTTTGCTTTTGTGGAGTTTGAAGATCCAAGAGATGCCTCTGATGCTGTGAGAGAACTGGACGGGAGGTATTTCATTTCCTTTTTTCTTTTTACTTCACTCCACACTCCTGTTTTTCCAGTGCACTCTCTTACTTGGCTTTTTACTCTTTAGAAACATGTGTGGCTGTCGAGCCCGTGTAGAGTTGTCTACTGGGGAAAAGCGCTCCAGGAGCCGTGGTCCTCCTCCGTCCTGGAACAGGCGTCCTCGGGATGATGTAAGGCGACGTAGTCCACCAGTCAGACGCAGGTACGAGTTTTTACCCCAATTAATTTGTTTAACTTCAATGTCCTTCAAGGAGCATGAAGTATTAGAACATGAAGTCAGTATTAATTGCCCATTTCTGTCGGCACCTTCTTAAAAATGACTCTCTGTAGGTTTAAATTTTGTTTTCTGTCTGAGTTTAGTTTTCTTTTTTCTTAATTAAACTGAACCCCGTTTCAGAGTCACCACCATGGTTCTCACCATCTGAGTCAATCAACTAGTGCTCTTTCAGCATCATGTGACTCCTGACCCCGAAAGCCCAACTCAGCTTGGCTGGTGTTGTCACATGTTCCCGGTGCGCCGTCATTCGTCAGGTTCCATCAGCCTATTTGTCCTTGAGCTTGCTGTTTCCAGCGTCCTGCTCTTCTTCCTCCACACTAACACCAGTCCACAGTGGCTCCACAGTGGCGCACAACACGCTCTCAGCCAATCGGCATCTTAGCACTTTCATTCCTCCAAAAAACAACTGTTTCAACGGGAACAGCTTTGGGCTTGTAAACCCTCCCAACCTCACAACACAACAGGCAGGGATAATCATCTCCAACTCCCTCTGCAGTCAGCCAACAAGCAGCAGCCATATCTCCCTCACCGTCAGTCTGACGTCCTTGTGTCATTTCTATCTTGTCCAAACCCCCCCCAAAAATAGTAAGTTTCTTTTATACTGCTCTTTGTAGTTTTGCTTTCTCTGAAGACTTCAGATCTGGTATTTAAATATTAATCTGTCCTGAGTAGGACTCAATATTGAGCCATCATTATTTTGATGTTTTATTGATTCATTAAGTCTTTTTTTATTTTTTTTTATCACTTCATCTGTGACATAGATCGCCAAAGAAGAGGAGCACGAGCCGCAGTCGCAGCAGGTAGGATAGAGTAGTACAATACAACGGTATTTAAATTGTGTGAATTCATCTTTGCCACATTAATAATAATAATTAATAATCATGATGATGATGATTTATTTTTTCTACTAGGTCTCCGTCTAAAGAAAAACGTAGATATCGATCTCTCTCCAGAGACAAGACTCGTAAAAACTCACGATCCTTGTCCCGGTCAAGAAGGTAAGAGTAAAGGCTTACGCTGCACCTCACAACACTAGAGCACCACACCACAGCTGTAGCCACACATGACAGACCAGTCAAAGCCGTGTTTGATCCACTAGGTGGCATCAGCTCCTACTTTGTGTGCTAATCAACAGGACTGACCAAATATTTTCATGTTAATTGTAAAAAAATATAGAATGTCAATCCAGTATCGTGAAATGAAATATCGCAATTTGTTTGTTTGTTTTTTGTATTTTAGTCGTTCCAGGTCTTTTGAGAGGAAGTAAAGAAAACTTCCGAGGGATGGTTCATCAGCTGGGTCACGCTTTGGTTCTGGACGTAGTTCTTTTTTTAAAGTCATGCTTTTCCTCCTACATTAGTCTGCTCTTGGTTAGTCTGGTGTTCTGGCAGTCTGTTTACAACAAAACTTTTTTTTTTGTTTTTTTTTACTTTGTATTATTTCAAATTGACAGTGAAGATGAAACCATTTCTTTTCTTACCTTGCATGTGCTTAAAAAAAATTGAGTGTTTTTAATTTGTCTGTTTGCTTTTTAAAAGGGCGTTATTTACCTGCTTAGGTTTCTGAGAGATGCATCTGCGTTTGGTTTCTCCTGACAAGTGCTGTAAATACTGGTGTTTTTATTTGTAAGTCATCTTAGAAGTGCTTAGACAGCTGTGATTTTTTTTTTCTGTTTTTTTTTGTTTCTGGCTTTTTGTGGGTTATTTCTTTTAAAGAATTCAGTCTTTCCTCTTTTTTTTTTTTTTGCTTGATTGTTCAAGCACTGACTACTTGCTCCGGTGTATTCAAATGTCTCCTTCAATAAATGTCTTTCCAAGGTGGAATTGTCTTTTTATTGACTTTCTTTTTTTTTTTTTTAAATGTATGCATTTATATACGTAAATGTGTAAATAATCCACAGCTACCCTGTGACCATTCAGCTCAGCTCTGATTCTTCATGTTCACACAACAAAAACAATCCCAAAGATAAACGTTTTGCTGCTGTTGCCTCGACAGGAAGTGAAGCTATGATTGCAGTGTGGAAACACCCCCACGTGTGAAATGTGTTAGTCGTTCGGCCAAGGACTATGACTTGACATTACGAAGCTGCTGGTGTGGTGAGACGACCGAAGACGAACTGGGGTGAGTGAACGAGGCAGAGCAACGACGAGAAAGTTTTAAAAACTGAAGTCAGTGTTGAGTTAACGTGGGTTTGGGCTCAAATGTTTTACGTTGTTAGAAAATCCAGGCATGAAGAACTAAACATGTGACAGTTTTGTGCTAACGAAGAGCTGAACATGTGACAGTTTTGTGCTAACGTATAACAATGTGTGCCAGTAAACGTGTCCTTGTCTCATGATTCAGGACAGAAGATTAGAAATAATGTCTGCTCAGAGATCAAAGAAACGGCTGGGCTCACGTCGCGCTGCAGTGAATCAAAATAAAACACCGGGGCCTGACGGTGCACACGCAACAGATCTGACTGATGCAGTTCAACACCGCGGTCCACAGGGGGACGATGAATTATTGAATATGACTTCTCATGCTGAGAGTTCACTTCCAGAACACCAGCATCAACTTTCACCGGAGCTCAAAGAGAACAGAAGGAAAATCGGATCAAGACGAAGAAACAAAGAGCAAAAACGAATAAAGGAAACGAAAACTGAATTAGGCAACGAACCCAGAGAGGAAGTTGATGAAACCACATGGACAGACACAGGCCTGCGACCACAACTGGAAATGTCTGAGTCTGAACAGCAGGCAGAACTGGGTGGAGAGGCAGAAACAGATCCTTTGTTTTCAAATACAGAATCTGCTGAGTTTGAGGTTCGATTCCCTGCAGCACACCGTCCAGAGCGTCCTCCAGAAGTTGAGATCCTGCAGAGTGAAAACGAAGAACCAGAGAACGAGGGCAACTCTCAACTAGACCACACTATTGTGGACGGAAACGCTGATCAGTTTGAGGAAGTTGAAGACGAGACGTGTCGTGTTAACAACCGTCGTCAAGAATGCCCTGAACCTCACAGAGAGATTTACACCACACCACACGATCAGGAAATAAATGAAGATGTGACGTTAAAAACCCAGGAGTTTTTCACTACAGAAGAGGAAGTCACTGATGACAATGATCTCAGCAACCTCAGTGGCAGCAATGAGCCTTTGAAGGCAACCGTTTCATTGACCAAAGACGAGTCATCTTCAGAGGAGAACCCCAAAGAGCAGCTCTCCCAACCTCAACACAGCACAGAACAACTAACAGTTCCCAGACCCAGTCCAGGACTGAAGCGCAGGAAACTTGGCTCCAGTCGCAGAAATAAAAGGCACCAAGAAGATTCTGCTGCAGAACGACACGACGACACTGTGGAGGAAGAGGATGGACCTGGAGCTGATCAAAGAGAAGTGACGGAACTGGGAGATGAGGAGGAGCCGCGGACGGAACCGGGGGAGCCGGTGAGGGAACGGGAGGAACCAGTGATGGAACGGGAGGAACCAGTGACGGAACCGGAAGAGGAAGTCACTGATAACAACAATCTCAGCAACCTCAGTGGCAGCAATGAGCCTTTGAAGGCAACCGTTTCATTGACCAAAGACGAGTCATCTTCAGAGGAGAACCCCAAAGAGCAGCTCTCCCAACCTCAACACAGCACAGAACAACTAACAGTTCCCAGACCCAGTCCAGGACTGAAGCGCAGGAAACTTGGCTCCAGTCGCAGAAATAAAAGGCACCAAGAAGATTCTGCTGCAGAACGACACGACGACACTGTGGAGGAAGAGGATGGACCTGGACAGATGTCGTCAGGAGGAAGGGCTGAAGGAGTGGACGGACCTGGAGCTGATCAAAGAGAAGGGACGGAACTGGAGGAACCAGTGATGGAACCGGGGGAACCAGCGACGGAACCAGAGACAGAACCGGAGGAACCAGGGACGGACCCGGGGGACCCAGTGACGGAACCAGGGACGGACCCGGGGGACCCAGTGACGGAACCGAAGAAACCACTGAGGGAACTGGAGGAACCAGTGACGAAACCGGAGGAACCAGGGACGGACCCGGGGGACCCAGTGACGGAACCAGTGACGAAACCGGAGGAACCAGGGACGGACCCGGGGGACCCAGTGACGGAACCAGAGACAGAACCGGAGGAACCAGGGACGGACCCGGGGGACCCAGTGACGGAACCAGCGACGGAACCGAAGAAACCAGTGATGGAACCGGAGGAACCAGGGACGGACCCGGGGGACCCAGTGACGGAACCAGGGACGGACCCGGGGGACCCAGTGACGGAACCAGTGACGAAACCGGAGGAACCAGTGACGAAACCGGAGGAACCAGGGACGGACCCGGGGGACCCAGTGACGGAACCAGTGACGAAACCGGAGGAACCAGGGACGGACCCGGGGGACCCAGTGACGGAACCAGGGACGGACCCGGGGGACCCAGTGACGGAACCGGAGGAACCAGGGACGGACCCGGGGGACCCAGTGACGGAACCAGGGACGGACCCGGGGGACCCAGTGACGGAACCAGCGACGGAACCGAAGAAACCAGTGATGGAACTGGGAGATGAGGATGAACCAGTGATGAAACTGGTGGAACCAGTGGCGGAACCGGAGGAACCAGGGACGGACCCGGGGGACCCAGTGACGGAACCAGTGACAGAACCGGAGGAACCAGGGACGGACCCGGGGGACCCAGTGACGGAACCAGCGACGGAACCGAAGAAACCACGGATGGAACTGGAGGAGCCAGTGATGGAACTGGGAGATGAGGATGAACCAGTGATGAAACGGGGGGAACCAGGTGACGAACCGGGAGGAACCAGTGACGGCACCAGCGACGGAACCAGAGACAGAACCGGAGGAACCAGGGACGGACCCGGGGGACCCAGTGACGGAACCAGGGACGGACCCGGGGGACCCAGTGACGGAACCGAAGA